CAAGCAACCAAGCAACCAAGCAACCAAGCAACCAAGCAACCAAGCAAGCAAGCAACCAAGCAACCAAGCAAGCAAGCAAGCAAGCAAAACAAAACAAAACAAAACAAACAAAGAATCAAAGAAACAAACACACAACCACACACAACAAATCACAACAAATCACATACTCTCACACACACACTCACACACACACACACACACGCGGTCTTTTTCGTCAAGACGACTAATGGATTGTGCCGGCCAAGTGAAACCAAGTATGTGGAGCAAAGAGCGTAAGGGCATTGGTGCCACTGGTGCATTGGTTTGATACGCGAACAGTAATTCCGATTTTGCTGGACTGCTAGAATCTCCAATAGCATGCAGATTGGCACAAAGATCATGACAATCGGTGTGGCTTCCAGCGATTGGTATGTTTGTGTTTGCTCTTGCTTCAAACAATGCATCTGTAAAACTTGTTTGCAACAAACCTGTCAATTGCAATCTGTTGTAAGAAGGAAAGAATTCATTTCCCAGATCAGATCTGCTTTTATTGCCCAGGCAGGCTGTGAACCACTCAAATGCAGTTCTGATGCCATTTCTCCGCTCAATCGCTTCCAGAAACGAAAGGAGGAAACGCCAATGGGTGGACCTGGAACGAGAAGCAACATATCAACAAATACTATAAATAATGGCCCCTGTCTTGAGGGTGGGGAGGGAGGTGGATACCCTCCATTAATTAAGAATTATTTTGAGGTATGTGCACCCCACCACCCCAAAATTAATATTGGCAGGTGTCAGACCCTGAAATAAATAATTTTCCAGCCTTGGGGGAAAGCGCTTACAAGAAAGGTATACCCCCTGCCGGGAACACACTTACAAGAAAGGGGGGAAAGCTCTTACAAGAAACTAGCTAAACTAGCTAAAAACTAGCTAAACATAGCAAAAACAAATCTGTCAGGAAAATATAATCACATAATAGCATGTATGATCATAGTTTTGACCGTATATGACCTATATTGCTAAATTATTTTTGGGGTGGGGTACCCCTTGACCACCACAAAAAACAAGAATAACATATTTCATCAACCCCATTCCACAAAATTATTTTGGGGGTGTGGTACCCCTCCATCCCCCCCTGCTGTCCACCACCACTCTCAGTACCACTACAGTGTATTAATTAAGTTATTTAGGGGCTGGGGTACCCCTCCTCACCACCACCTTCCTCAGCGCCAGCGCATTCGACTAATTTATTTTGGCGGTGGGGGACCACCCCAACCACCCTATTCCACATTCGACTATTTGACTAAACCTCTTGATATACAATATTTTGCCCTGCAAGCCCTGAAACCACTTTGGCAAATAGCAGCGGCCAAAATGACAGCAGGTTGATATGGCTTGATGAACAATTCTCAATAATTTATTTTGAAGTATAATAACCTATTCTTCAGAAATTATTTTGAGGTATAATGACCTAATCATCAGAAATAATCTACAGGTCCTCGACCTATCTTAGGCATACTTATTTAGACGTCCTTCTACCTGTTTGATGGAAATTTATTTTGCCATACCCACCACCTCATATTAAGGAAACTATTTGACATTCAGGGGTGCCAGGACCCGACCTCTCTGTAGAAATAATTTCCATACTTTTAGACAATTATTAGGAGGGGTCACCCTATACCCTTCAATAATTTCTGAAGGGAGCGGCAATTATAAATATTGTATGTATATTGTATATATATATATATTCAGGTTATTATGTATATATATATATATCGGACACTGTCAACCATGTGCTGTAACAAACTCGGAAACCGCATGTTCGGTACCAAGAGCGGAAACACCCCACAATTATGCAGTGTATGTGGCTTTTGCAGTGTGGCTTTAATGATGCAGTACTGAACAAAAACAGGTGAGAACATGTGTACTTCAAACCTCTTAAGATCTTGTGCTTTTCTCGAAGCAGCCACAAGTCATAATGTTCAATCTACTCTTGCTGTCAGAAATTTCATCATCAGTAGGTCACACAATTGTCCTAAGAAGTGCTTTGAGGTCACCCAAAGCCTTGAATGTCAAGAATTGTGGGCAGCATCTTCTGGCGCCACAAGAACTGTTTCAATCATGGCTAATTTGTTTGGAAATAATATCAAAAGCATTGACAAAAGCCATTTAGGCATAGAAGTGACCACACTTACAGCATAGGATGCTGGGTCACCTTGCATGTATTGTGAACACATTCCCTAGGTCTAACGGGATCTACTTGCACCGGTCGCTCCTGGTCACTCCCAACCCACAGAAAAAAAACAGTCGCTCTGCCCTCTCCGTGGGGCGTGTCCTTCTCCGACCGGCGGGCTTCCCCGGCACATCTCCTTCTTGGAGATTGAACGGCGGGGTGCGATCGATTGAGTTCATGGCACAACGTTTGGGCCTCCAACTACCTGTGTTTCGAAGATGGTTGGGGTGCCAGGGGGGGTCTGAACACCTTGTGAGGATATGGTTGGAGCCCTCTGGGGTTGAATGCACGAAACATCTCCCCCCGTGCATGAAGGATAGATTGATAGATTGATAGATGGATAGATGGATAGATGGATAGATGGATAGATTGATAGATTGATAGATTGATAGATTGATAGATAGATAGATAGATAAGATAGACAGATAGTTAGATAGACAGACAGACAGACAGATAGACAGATAGACAGATAGATAAGATAGATAGATAGATAGACAGACAGACAGACAGACAGACAGACAGACAGACAGACAGACAGACAGACAGACAGATAGATAGGTAGATACATAGATAGATAGATAGGCAGATAGATAGGTAGATAGATAGGTAGATAGATAGGTAGATAGATAGGTAGATAGATAGATAGAACATAATGAATAGAATTAATAGATAGAATAGAATAGAATGGACATAATATAGATAGACAGGCGCCCCCACCCCAAACAACCGGACCATTCTGTGATATCTTATCCATTCTTATCATAGTGTTGGGGGTGAGTGCGACAAGGGTCTGTCTCTCCCTTCTTTTCGGATGTGGGACAAGAGCCCGGCTGTGTATATCCTAAGCACTTGACTCTTCAAGCGTCTTCAGCTCTGATTCGCACCCGCCGCAAAGAAACTGAGTGCAAAAGCACTCAGCAGATCGCGGCATTTCCCAAACAGGACTCGCGGTTCCAATCGTTTACACGTTTGGGGAATGTTCCACGCCACAGGCACCGCAATTTCTGCATCTTTGGCCTGTCGATGAGGCCCAGCAAAGCTGATCTCATGTCAACAGAATTTCTTCCAATCGGTCCAACAATATCGAAGCAGCTCTCAGCTCTGCTTTTAAAAGGCCTCTGCTGGTAATTTCGTACACAGCGTTGGCGTTGTACCAGCATTCCTACCTAAGGTGCAACTCTGAGTGCGTTGCTTCCTACCGTTACGATCTTTGCCCCCGTTTGGGGTGTGTAATGTCAGAGCCTGCTCTGAACAAAGAAACATCACGTGGACTGTGGTCCCAAAGGATACTGTGACGGCGTGCACGGTTCACCCTATACATTCAGGACACTCTGGGTAGCGGCCATATAATAGCAAGTTCCAATTAAATACAGCAATGGCGTACAGTAGTTCAATGTGGCCACACAACTCTTGTAGTGGTCAACAAGTGGGCCTCTATGGCAGGGCAATGCAGGGCAGCTGTCTCCTGTTAAAGGACCCACAAGAACACACTGAGGGAGTCCCTCCGTGCTTCCAGCACGGCGCTGTTTAAGCATTGGTTTCCCCCAAGCGCAGATGGACAGTTCCCAGGGTAGAACATTCTCAACTGCTCATTGGGCCACTATCAAGAGCAATTGGTAGATGTCAAGGCCGTGACTGTCTTGCATTCGAAAAATTGTCATTCTCACAACCAAAGTCGCAGCCATGGTTTCGACAGTCACAGCCATCGGGGTTTCGATGGTTTTGCCTTCCTGGCCTTCGGTTGGATACCGACGCGTCATCATGTGGAACGCGAAATCGCTGTCACAGGCGTTCGGATCCTGCTAGCACCAGGTTGAATGCCCAGTCCCTTCCGCTCTTTGCCACTCCGGATCTGGAGGCTCTGAAAAGTTGGATGCTTCGCATTGGCAGGCTCTGAGTATTCGCTTCACCGCGGTCTCCTCATTCCTGGTCGGTCTCCTATGCCAGCTGTCCCTCAGGGCGGGCACGGGGGGGGGTCCTGGGCCGTGCATGGGTTTCCAAAGGAAGTGGCTGCACTAGTGGCTGCATTGTTGGATGTCTATCAGTTTTCGTTTAATGGAATGTCTTCGATGCCTGAGGTGCTGCAATAGAATACACAACTTTTGAAGATTCATCGGTCTAGCCAAACTGCTTGGGAGTCTTCATGGAAGGCTGTCTCGGGGAACTGCCCGAGGCGAGAAGAGGTTATACACCGATGACACCACCATACCCCGAATCCCGAACCTCTCAAACAGCACTCATCAAAGGCGGACCTCCATCGCCCAGTCCAATTTGGGCCCCAAGCGCTTCCAGCCTGCAGCCTGCAAAAGGAGACGGTCGGTCACTTCGCAGGTCTCACAACGAGGTGGGTGAATCCCTGACCGCCATGAGTCTATTGGCCATAAGTTCAATGGATCTGTCTAAGGGACATCCCCTGATCTGACCCATCCGCCGCGTGGCCCGCCTGGGCGTCACAATGCGATCTCCCAAGAGCACCCGGCAGTGCTTGCGTCGGCCACTGTTGTCCAAGGACTGGCGTCGTCTTTGCGAGAAAACAGAAAGAACCTCCCTCAAGAATCAAAATTCCATGGAACTGGAATATATGTATATATATATATTATATCTACAAATGCCTATATACATGGACCCCTGAAACCCATATGTATACATATATATGGCATACAAGGAGTGTCTGGGATCAGCTTATTTTGTCGAGAACACCGTCCTTTGATGTGCTGATGTATTGGGACTCCTACCCGTATCAAATGATTGTGAAGGTCTTGCGGTATTGCCCCAAAAGCATCCAAAAGCCTTCACCCAGGACAGGCAGGGTTTATTTAAACTTAGGATGTTTCCAGGTCCCCACCTCCTCAACTTTTTTGTGCAGTGGTGTTCTGGAATCAAGTGTCCGGCCGTCAGAACACTGGAACCACATGAAAACAACATGGTTTCACTGCACCGGCTTCTTTAAACTGACCTCTCTGGAGTGCAGCCAGTGACCTTTTGCACCCCTGCGATATTTTGTGTAAACCCCTGCAACTGTATAGATACATGTATGCAGCTGGAACTACTGGAACGTTCGACTAGACCTGGCGCCACGTAGCGCCTTTCTGCGTAGTGCACGAATCGAACGACACCACACTGGGACACCTCGTGGAGATACCGCAAGGCAAACCCAATCATCAGTGTTGGAACATGTTGGTAATATAATTAGATGCCTCGGCCTCAGGAACGTGGCTCTTTCAAAACTGTATGAGACCAAGGCTGCCCTCTGACAAGGTGATGTGTGACATGGAGGGTCCAAGTACCTTTTGAGAAGGTAATGTTGACCTATGATTCATAAAGGAGTCCGAAATAAAGTTAGCAAAGTTCCGCGCTGATTAATAACCCCCAACAGAAAGTTAACCATTTGGCTCACTGACAAAACACACTTGTTAAGTTAGTATTTAGTTTCTTCCATTGCTTTGTCAACAGATTCATTCTTTGGACACCTTCTTTATTAATTCCTCTTCATGTTAACATATGTTTTAGTAAGGGATCGTTTCATTTCTAATTGAAGTTATTTCTTGGAACCTGGGATGAACTTTATTTAGGGTAAACATGGGTAAACCAAGATTTCAAGATTTGCAACCGCCCTTTATTACTCAGAGGTCCAGATTATGTGGATCCCCAGAAGGGATAAACACCTAACATATCCTGACATGATCATTTAGTATCATGTCATTTCCCATGTGTCTCTGCGTTTGAAGTACTGTGCCCTGAGGTGATTGCTTGTCAATGATCCGTATGAGGCAGAACTCTTATTCGTTCGACTCATCTCACGCTCGAACGGCTTTCAGTCGAAACAACTGCTTTCAGCCACCGACGTTCGACCAACGAGGAATTTTCCCCGTGTGCCAACGACGCAACATCCGCTGGAGAGGCGGGACGGTGGGACGGTGGGACACGTCCGCGCCTTGGGTTCCACATTACTGTTGGATCCAGGCGCCGGGATCTTCTCCTGGAGAAGCGAAGCAACGGCCAAACATCTTGGGAAGATGAAGAGGTGGGGTTTGGGATGGGTTGCTTGGGTATGGCTTGAGGTGTAGGTGGGGTTTGGTTGGCTTCGGAAGGTCCGTGCTAAAGGCTTGGTTTGCTTGGATATAGCTTGGGTATAGCCTGGTCAGGATCCGAAAACTGCGACATTCCTGCATAAACTCATTAAGACTGCTATCCGGGACACGGCTTCACAATGAAGCAGCTTGACAACAAAGCCAACGGACACCCTAAAGCCAAAGATGTTCGAAGCAGGCCCGAAGAAGTGTTCAACTAATTTGGTAAGAGGCTGAGGCGAATCCGTGTTTGCAGCAAATCGACGCACAAGCTTCCCTATAAGAGCAAACCCCCGCGAGCTAGCAGGTGAACACGGCATGTCAGTTGGCGCTTCTGGAGATATAATTACAGGACACGTCCTCTTCTCTTGACATGCTCTCGAACATCTACGCAGGAGACTGTACCTCTTCATTGATGGGATCCAACCTCTTCCCGCAGTCTTTATCCATCCCGCTTGTGGGCGGCTGAAAGGGTTCATGGCGCGCTGTAGCGGCTTATTGTGCCGCTCACACCGGTCATGCCGAGGATCGTCCGCAGGGCCCCTGGCGGTCCAGTTCGGTGGGAGGTTGGGTCATAAGCTCAGGGGGGGTGCTGGCATGCATGGATATGATGTATTCAGATTTTCCCTTAAACCAATCCGATGATAAGCTATGTCCTTTTGAATCTTCCCGCAAAACTCACCCCCTTCCTGGGCCAGTGAAACTCACGGCCAGTGTGCCCCCTTGGCAGCGGCGAGCCATCCCGGAGAAGTGTTCATCCAGACTCCTGGATCCCCCAAGAGGACCGAACATGCCATGTTAAAAAAATCAGCAAGTGAACTCCCTGGAATCATGGAAGTGGATGGCAGCAACTGTTTGTAGAGGAGTTCATGGTCATCCAAGGGGGCATACCATCCACTTCCGGTTTCAGGCCTCCACTGCCAGCAGTTCCATGGAGTTTTTTGTGCCGGTCACGAACGGAGGGCACCAGCGGCAACATGTGCCCACCCAACTCCATGGAACTATACCTGGAAAATACAGATGTCAGTATATATATATACATATTGTCATCTAATATACCTATCATCCCGTCTCCATTTTCGTTTGGGCACTCAAAAACGGCTCCGTGCGGTGGGTTCCCGGTGGTGTTCGGCTCCGATCCCGCACAAACAAAGGAGCACGAACGGAAGGAGGAGATCCCTCCGCACGACTGTCGCGGGCTCAAAGGACTAAGGAGAAAAAGATTCAAAACATATCCGACTCAGCCGGTGAAAACAAAAGTCAGCTTAACTGACCACATATGGTGCTTCGTCCGGAGTTTCTTGCTAGAAGTCCTAGGGGAGTTCTTCGTAGGCATCGGTGCACAAGCATAAGAGCGTGCACAAACAAAGAACATTATATTATATTATATATATAGTTCGAACTATATGTTTTCAACAATGATGTTCCCCGAAAGGACACACAGGATTTCTCACGAGCAGCCATACCCATTTGGTGAGGATGTAACCAGAAACAGAGTATAACAGAGTACAGTACACAGAAATTGTTAATTTTTCTGGTTACCTGGTTCTTCCAATTGACCTTCTGGTCCGGCCTGTTTTTCAGGTCACTCACTGAGGGACTCCAAAAGGGTCACTTTGAAGAACAAGGTTGCACAGATCAATCCGTTGTCCTTGATCCACAGGTGAACTCCAGCCACACAAAAACTCGAAGCGCAGCAATTGTCCCGTCATCATGTTTGGTGCAAAAAGGCTTCTTTGGCCCAGTGCTACTTCTCAGCTTGGAGGTTGAAACGCGACCGATGTTTCATCTTGCAACACAAAAACGTGTTGATGCACAAATTCGACCAAGTGTGAACTTTCAGTCATTCTATCCGATATTGATATCACTACCTGGACCCTCCAAAGTACCTATAAACAACAGGTGCTGGTACCCATTTTCCAAGGTACTTTGAGACTCCAGATACAATCTTCAGAAGCTACTAGTAACAAAGGGCACCGCTACGAACGGAGCATTCGGACGCTACTAATAGTAGCTCCTGGCCTTACTACTAGTAACAAGAAGCTATTAGAAACAAGTGCATCGCTTCTAGTAACAAGTGCCTTACTACTAGTAACAAGAAGCTACTCTATGTCCGTCAGCTTCCGAGCCACGGCGTTCGAGAGCCACAGCTTCCGTGGACCACTCGACCGCCTCTACCGCGAAAGCCCGGCGTTCTCAGCTGGGCATCGTCCAAAAGGCCTCCGGTTCTTGAGGAGCCTGTGGCGAGGCAGGTGGAGGAACAAAGACGACAACGACACCAAAAGGCCTGGTTTCTCGGAAATGATGGACTCAGCAGGGAATTACTTATAGATAGGTCTACTTATACTTGAAATCATGTCACTCATTCCGAATCCAGGAACACTTCAGATCAGAAACACATATCCGGCCACATGTCCCACACGTTTGCACGGGCAAAGGACTGAAGCCCGACAAGGCCCGGTGTTCGGTGGGAAGGAGCCCTTTCCAGGGCTCCCTGCTGATGAGGGCACTTGCCATGATCCAAAAAAGCATCCATGGTGTTTCCCAGGTGGACTTGGTCAGAAGTCATATCATGAAGTCATCTGAAATCCCCAGACTACACAAAAGACATAAAGATACTTGGAACTCTCCAGGTCTTGCTTCCCTCCATCCTCCCAGTGCCTCACTGCCAAATGGCCATGACCAAAACTCTTCAGTTTTCTCTGGTGCCGGATCCGGGGATCCCATCGAGCGACGCCGGGTCATCCCGGACTTCAAAGCAATTGGGCTCATCAAGTCTCGTGTTCAACACTGGAACCCCTGCAGATCAGAGACATCTGATTTTCGGCACTGCAATCCTGCAGCCCTTACTGCAGCCCTGCACTCCATCACAAACGACCTCCAGATTGTCCCCAAATGGTGTTCGATGAAATACGACCGGACGACCGCTTCCCCCAAGTACCGTACACCGATGAAAAGCATCAGCCTCTCAATTGGACGACTACACCGAGAGGACTGCGGCGGAACCCGGGAACCGGGCGATCGCGTGGAGACGTCGACAGAGACGTCGACAGCGGCCTCGATGCCGAACATGAAGCGCAAGGAGTTTCCATGCAACTGCGCAGGCAGGTGCATGGCCTGCAGTCGGCCATACGACTGCCCATGCGACTGCCGCGGCTCGAGCGGACGAGAGAAGGCTCTCGTCACGGGTGAGAAGTAGAACCAGGTCACGGACGGTCTTTACGGCATTTGACAGATTTTCCTGACTGGGCCAAGAACAAAAACAAAACACGTCAGTGAAATGCAATGAGCCGCCAGTGAAATGCAAGGTTCCTCTGATTCCAGCAGCCCAGGTACATGGAGATGTATCACATCACTCTATGCAACCAGGCCTTTGAGACCAAGCTTCCGTCCATGGACACACAGTTGGTGTAGTAGTAGTCAGCCCTGGCTCGCTCGCAGACATGTTTGAAGGTTCACACGTAATTGAGCCACCGGGGAGAACCTATGGTACGGTAAAAGGCTTCACGAAGGAGTTGTGATGGACAAACACAGTTCTGTCCCGTTCTGTTCCGGATGTTGGGGAAGATTATCTTCAAAATTATACAGTAAATGTTGAAAAAGACCTGCATAACACAATGTTGGGGGAGTTGTCCAAGTTGAGGTCTCGCCAGCCAGGTTCCATCGATGAACTCCCCACTCCAGTCTCTGTTGAAACACCACCTTCACTCCAATTACTTGGTAAGAAAAGTGTATTGTTTGTGGACTCATCAGTTCTATTTGCTCTGGAAGCTTCTGCCCGGGCCAACACGGCGAAGTGTTTCTCAAAAGAGACCCAAAAATAGATCATATAATATGTGCAGGTAGACAATTTTTATATTGTAATATACAATAATGCTGCTCATTTCACATCTAAGCATCTTCTGGTGGGTTGTGTCATGTATTCGATCCTGAAACAACTGTAGCGCCAACAAAAAATTGACGCGTAAGTCAGGGAAATTCCATGTCTGCTTTGCTTTTGAAATCAACCAAGTGGGCCATGTCCATCATCTGTCCATCCTCAACTTTTGCAGGAAACATATATATGTATATATATTCGATGAATCTCGCTCAACATATGTCGACTGCTGCTACCCTTTTCTGCGAATCGATTCAGGTCTGTACTGTCTGTACTGAAGTGCTTTGGTTTGAAATGCGACCCACGTCGCTTGTGTCATCTGACATCTGACACTCTCCCTGTGGGAGCACTCCATCCAAGGCACTAACGTCTCCAAAGCACTCAAATGAACTGAAAGACCTGAGCGATGAGGTGGTAGGGCAGCTGGAGGAGCATGAGCAGGGGGTAGGTGTGGAAGAGACGAAAATCATGTTGTTGGAACCACGGGTCGTGTTCTCCCTGTCTGCTGATGCCATCTGACCAGTTGTCCTTACTCTGGACCCATTCAAAATAGCATGCACTACGGAGTGCAAACAGAAGGCCATGGATGGCCCCAGCCATAGAATCCAGCTCATCGTTGTTGCTGCGGCCTCGTATGAGAGCCATGAGGGCAGCTATGTTGTCAACAAACCATATACCATGCATCCCGCGAACTGATGAGGCGTTATATGCCAGGCCCATGTAGACTGTCAAGAGCTCAAGCTGTGCAATCTTGGCCTCATGATGGGACCACACCGTGAAGATCTTTGGGGTGATGTGGACGACATAGGCCCTTCGACTGCCACGGGGGTCAATGAACAAGACTCCCGCAGAACCCTCGCGGGGCCTCTCTTGCGCTGCATCGGATGCCGCCAAGTACCGGTGTTGCCGTACTGGATTGAGCGGTAATTCTCTCTCAGGTTTCAGCTGAAGTAGCGCTCGAATTCGATCAAAGGACTGTTCAATCTCCGGTGTCATCACGACTTGCGAGGAGTATTGTCTTTCCTTGATGCTGTGGAGGCCCGACCGGCCGAGCTTGCCGAAGCATCCCGTCGTCAAGAATCCCAGGCAGCCAAAAAGCTTGGCAGCCAGTCCCGGAGGGAGGCGACGCGTCTGAGTGGCCTCCTCCATGATGTCGGTGACCTTGGTGAGCAGTCGGTCACGGACCCAGAACTTGACAGGAGCACCCTGGTGGCAGGCTGCCACGTCGTGGATCAACCCCAGAAAATCAGACTGGGCCGCCAAGGACTGATGTTTCTCTGCTTGGAAGGGTGATCCAAGGCATCGTGCGAGTTCATTGACGAAGGCCTGGCCAGTGCCGCCCATGATACCAAAGTCCTGGATTGTCAAGTCATCAAAGTACATACTGGTCATACAGTAGGCCAGGCGGCGGCAGGCAGCTTGAAAGAATCGGGGAAATCGATTGAACGAACGCACAGCATTTGGTAACCCGAACAGGGAACCGTAGTATTGCCGAAAACGGGGGCCACCAACGTGGTGGTCGTAGTAAGCCACCACGGCCATGTTGCTATGTGTCGGCTTCATAGGGACGTAGCGGTAAGCGTTGGGTAGGTCTTCGCCCCCGGACCAAATACCAGCTTGCAACAACTCAGACACATGAGCCGAAGA